GGTTTATAAGGAGCTCATAAATCTCAGAGACATGTAATATACAAATCTGCCCTAACCTTTCTTTATGGTTCATTACACCCCCCGAGTGCAAAGTTATTTTATACTACTGTAATTTTTCTATCCATTTGTGTTTCCAAAATTCCAACTAACACCCGATTTAGAGGATGCATTCATTTACTTATTCCCCCTCTTCCCAACAAAGAGCCTAAAGGTACGTTCTGAAAAGCACAATAAAACCCCTACTTTTTATACTGTTACATACACAGCAAGCAAAATAAAACTATAAACTTTTAAGATATTTTCTACCAAGAAGTCAAATAGACTAGCAATCAACTGCTTGTTGTGACCTAATAATTAATTAAAAGATTAAGAACACATTCCTTTCTCAGAGGGTATGCAGCATAAAGCTTTTCTATCTTTTTTCACTACATGCAATTTTATTCCAGATGATTAATAGTGACTTTATTCCTATAAACTCCTTTCACTACTACATGTGCCTCCTATATTTCTATGTCAAATTATTACATATTACTGTGCAAGGACACCACATGATGGTGTTAGTCATTAGGGTGGATCCCAGCGCGGCTTTGCTGTATCAGAAAAGGAAATACATATGCTTTAATAATTACTATGCAGAGTGCTTATAAACTAGGAATATAGCTTTATTTTAGAGTTCAGAATTGATGGGCAAATTAAGTTGAACACATAAGCACATATGCATGTCTAAATTAAGACCAGCGCTAACACTTGACACAGTACAACTGGTAATACACATACTGTCAAGAAATATAACTACCCAAACCCAGCCTTCCAAACTCAGGGAATAAATCTCACCAGTCATTTCAGTCACAGCTTCATCTGCTGTTCACCTAGAGACGTTGAATGGAGCAAGCAATAAACATTAGGAAAGGGCTTATATCAAGTATTTCCCATAACCTAGTAGTTAGTTACCATGAATGCTGATCTCCAGCAACACAGAGCAGGTCAACTCGGAGCTCACAATTCTTTATTACTAGTTTCCATAACACTAGATACCAATAGCTAGGTGGCTTCAGTATAACCATATTCAAACCATCTTCCAGCTGAAGAATTGACCACTTCTTGGATAGGACTCATGTTCTTCCGATTTAAAATGTTACCATGGTGTTAAGAGTTTTAGACATAAAATGCAGCTGAGAAAATACAAGCTCAGAATTTCCATTTGAACTCAGTCAGTTAGTTAGAAACTATAACAACTGCTAATGAAGAATGGTATTTTGACCCCCTCTGCTTTCCTCTTTTAGAAAAGAATGTTTAAATCCAGACTGATATTCTGTTCTGCCTTTTATATACTTCTGTGCTTCAAGCACATAGCAAGCTTAAAGGATTGTGAAAAAACCTTACAGCCTTCATAGAAAAATAAATTAAAAACAAATCCCAAAACCAAGTCTGGGAATTCAAGCTGCTCTTTCAGAATTTTCCAAACACAGGAAAGACAGTATTTCTTAACATTTAAGAAAATGCCTTCCCTATACAAGCAAGGATTTGGAACAAATCTGATCATTTAAGAGATGGGAAAAAAAACTAATACTCAGTTCCTCTTAGAGGCCTCAAAACAAGACTACATTGACTACAAAAGGTCACTAGGAACACAGAACATGAGCTTATTCAAATCAAGTCAGAGGGTCAAAGCACTAAGCAATGCACTTGCATTCCAGAGAGGATTACCTACCTAAGTAGTTAACACACACAAAAATGTGAGCTCAGGCTTGTATTGATCAACTGCAACCCCAGTGATGGAGTGGTACATGCTGTGAGATCAACAGTTATCAGAGCAAGCAGACACAATACAGGGGAAGGGAAACCAACCTGTCACACAGTCTAGAAGACCTACTTCTTCAAATAGAAAAGCTGTTTATAATTTGTGAACAACCTTTCTTTGCCTTTCTTAAAATAATAGTTTTCAAAAACATCTTCCAGAGCTTCCCAGTTACAGCTCCACTAGAGTTTTTTTACACTGACATTGATCTGAATCTCACTGATCAGTTTTAAACAGACAGTAATACCTTTAGGTGGAGATCTTTGTAAAATGACAGCTCAGTCTCTGGAATTTGATTGAAGAGACTGAGGGTGATCATGTTAAAAATGATGCTGGAGAAGGCCAGACAGAAGTTCCATCTAGTAAGTAAAACTAGATTTCTCACAGACCAATTCATAAAGATGTTCAACCCAGTACCAACTGTAAAATACAGGAACAGGCTGATGTCAAGCACTTAAAATATAGAGGCTGGACACTGACAACAATATTGTATGCCCTGAATAAAACCCCTGAATTCTGTGGAAGAAACAGGAAATCATACAATTAAAAAGGAGGATGAGTAAGGCAACAGCGCTTTTGCCACCAGCACAAGCCAAAACAGCTCTGGCTGACTGCATGACAGAGGTACATGAGCTGGTTTTCTGGATTGGTCTAGGAACCTGACTCCTATTCTATTAGTTGTCTAGGAAAACAAGTGCTGTGCACTGCAAAACACCATGTGAAAAATGGATACTGAGCTCTTTCATGTGTTTTTGATGATTTTTCACCATTAAGATTTTTCTATCCACCAACATAAACTGTGCATTGTCTTTCAGATAATCAGCATATTCTCTACACTGATCAGCGTACTCTTAAAATATTCTGAAAATTTAAGTTAAATTCACTAAAGAGAAGCTAGCATTTATTCATTCACACATCTTGTACCTGAGATTTCCTTGTTTTTCCCTTTGAAGTTTCTGGTACTTTTGTTTCAGCTTACACTTGACTTATGCAGTGTCTGACCTTAGTACAAGCAATTTCTTCCCTGTCTCTTTTGTTCTGCAGTGCACTCACGGAGGGTGGAGGGAACCAGTCAAACTTGAAGGCCAGATACAGCTGCTGAGGCAACAAAAGTCTGATCACTTTCAGTTTTGTTTTTTGAGACTAAAACCACAAGCTTGCAAAAGGTAAGCTCAAAGTCTACATGCCTTCTCCCCCCATACTTAGACTTAAGATTTTGCCTAAAATGTTTGTCATTGACTCGCAATAGTGATCTAAAGAGTCACTGCTATTTTTGAATCACAGCTCTGCATAGCTTCAGAAAACTGAAGTCATTAAGCAGCAGTACTACTGTGTTACAGCAACAAAATACCATCCTGCATATGGCCCTGAATACATCAGTTCAACTCTACGATGCCGCTGCCACATGTACCTTCTGAGCCCTATTCCCCTCCAAGGACAAGTGCAGAGCTGCACGCATAGCTCTGATCTATATGGAGAAAATAAAAGGAGCCAGCCAAAAAGCTTTTTCCCTGAAAACTGCTGTTGCAGAGATGCCAGGTCAACCCTAGGAATCCAGCAGTTTGCACAGGGGCAAAGTCCCATGCTCTGAGGATGATAACGGAAGGCAAGAAACAGGTGTGGCTAATTCCAGTACTTCTTTCTTCCTTAACACCCCAGACCACAGCTAGTGTTAGATGCCCCTCACCAAGCTCCCACAAAAGCCTCTTACCCTGTAACAGGCTGTAAGCTACAGTATGCCTTCTATCAGTAGCACAGCCTCTGAAGTTAGACTACCAGTCACAACTCAGTTGCTCCTCAATTTGGCAATATTCGCATGTCACGGAGAAATACTCACCTCAAAGTGTTTAAATTCAATACGAATACATTAAGTCCAGGATGCCAGCTGTATCAGTTGTACAGCCAAGTGCCAGAGTCCACCTTCTTACTTCTACTAAGGCAGCATCAGTGTTATAAGATTACTGTAGGCTACTTTTTTTTTATTTTTAAGTGATGTGTGGAATAAAAACACTTGATAAGGCGATTACTCATTTCCACCTGTTGTAAGCAATCCTAGTTTTCTTTCCCTTTAAAATGACAGATTGAGCTAACAAAATTCAGTAAAACAGCTCTTAAATTATGCTGAATAGTTCACAGAAATGCTAAATGTTCTACTTCTAGTAAGCACCAAGATAAACACAACACAAGGAAGCTAGAAACTACAAAACTAAAGTATTCTTACGCTACTGTATACACCCATGGTATGCCTGCATTTCAAATGCAGAGAAAGAGATGATCCTCTCCCCCATTCAAAAGCAGAACAGCTAAATGGAAAAGATCCCGAAATAGGTAACCTGTATAAACAGAAATGTGAAGGGCTACAACCCACGAAGTAAACAAGACTTTGGGTTTTCAGCCCACAAGATGCAAGAAAAAAAGTGAACACAGTAGAAATCTAAAGTGATCAGTGGCGAAGGCAAGATACATACTATGGTTTTCACAACACAGGAGACAGAAATCAGCAAATTACCTGAAGGCAGGCTTGACAAAAACCACATACACACACACACCGCAAAGCAAAAGCAAACATTTTGCTCCTTCACAAATTCAGTTGCTGTGGAGAGAAACTTACAAATACCACGGCCCGTTTACTCAGATCTGAACAGCAATCAGCTCTCATAAGGCAAAAGATCATTATCAAAGATTATTAAGCACAAAGGCATTCTCTTGACTCACGCAGTCCCGAAACTGCTGGAAAGCGGGCGAGTGCAGGGATAGGAGCATCACCCCCTCTGCCTGACCCACCTCTGCTCCCCGGGTCCGAGCGGCAGGACTCCGACCTTTCGCGCTGACCATGCGGGTTCTCATTGCCCTTAACGGTCACCCCCAAGCGCGGTATCGAGACGCCGCCAAGGCGGAGCGAGGCCACGCACTGAGGCAGCGCCCACAGGCTAGCTCCCGTTCACGCCCGGTGGAGCGGCCCTCGGTCTGCGACCCGTCCAACCCGCCCCGGGACTCCAGCAGGGCCACAGTCACCCTGCCAGTGCTTCACATGCACCAAACCAAGACGGAGATACAAAGAGTCCTCTCACCCAGGACGAGCAGAAGCGGCGACGGGGTGGAGGGCCCGAGGAGCGGCCGGCTGCACCCTCCCCCTCCCAGGCCTCGTTACGAATAGGACCAGCACACTCCCTCCCGCCTCCCCTCCTGACCCGGTCGTTACCTGCGCGGCGCCTGGCGGCCCCTGGCTGTCGGCTCCGTCTGTCCCCGCGGACCACTGCGCACCGCCCGCCCCTACGACACCCGCAAAGCACCGCTACCTCCAGCCTCGCCGCCGGGCGACGCCATCTTGTCTACCTGCCCTCCGCCTCGCCTCCCAGGCGACGCGCTAGCGTCACACCGCCAGGTCATCTGCCCCCCTCCCCAGTGGACCAATCTGGAGGCGCTCCTGGCGACGACGTTCCGAGCGGGAGGGGCGGGGCCATGGCAAGGGGAGCCACGCCCCCTCCCCTGAGGGGAGGGGAGGAGGGGCGGTGCCGGGGACCGCGTCTGTCCCAGTGTTCATGTCGCTGGCAGAGTCTCAGGTTTTGTCGGGCTCCTCCAGCACTTCCTGCTCCTTTCCCACTTGGACACAGCCATAGGGAACTGGATGAAGGCGTCGAGCCGGGTCTAGAGGGATATTTCACCCCGTATTCCTTAGCCCCTTCCCTCAGCAGCCATGGTGGCTTCATCCCCTCACGAGGGGCTGTGCGCCCACCCAGCGGCAGAGCACGGCATTTACCCCTAACAGCAGCTTTACTGCCGGGTTTTCAGCCTTTGAAGAAGGCTTTGGCCCAAAACATGGGGGTTTGGTCCAAAATGCAGGTGGTGGTTGTGTGTGTATGTGAGGGAGGGTGTGGAGAGGGGGATTAATGGTGGTAAATCATGGCTGAAGCAGCAAAACAAGATTATCCTCTGGGGTTTTCAGGGGAAGATGGAAAGCATGTAGGGTTATTTTATAGGGTTTGGTTTTTTTTTTCTCTTTGGCTTCTCACAGAACCCTTGTTTGAGGTTTGTTAGATAAACCCCCCAATACAATTCATAAAATAAACACCACCTTTATCAAGACAATAGTACCTTGACTGCTTTCATGTCTCTCAAGGCACTGGAGGGTTTCGAGTTGTCAGCAGCTGACTGGTCTTACGGCCTTTCTGCACGTCATATAGAATCATAGAATAGTGTTGGAAAGGACCTTAAGATCATCCACTTCCAACCCCTCTGCCATGGGCAGGGACACCTTGCACTAAACCATGTCACCCAAGGCGTTGTCCAGCCCGGCCTTGAACACTGCCAGGGATGGAGCATTCACAGCTTCCTTGGGCAACCCATTCCAGTGCCTCAGCACCCTCACAGTAAAGAACTTCTTCCTTATACCCAATCTAAACTTCCCCTGTTTAAGTTTTAACCCGTTACCCCTTGTCCTATCACTACAGTCCCTAATGAAGAGGGATGTGGCCAATGTTACGAAGTTCAACATAGCAAAGTGCCAGGTCCTGCACTTGGGCTACAACAACCGCATGCAACGCTCCAGGCTTGGGGAACAGTGGCCGGAAACTGCTCATGGAAAAGGGTGCTGACTGACAGAGCTGAACATGAGCAGCTTGTACCCAGGCAGGCAAGAAGCCAACAATCCTGGCCTGTATCTCCAATAGTGTGGCAGCAGGGCCAGGGCAGTGATCATCCCCCTGCACTGGGCACTGGTGAGGCTGCACCTCGAATCCTGTGTTCAGTTCTGGGCTCCTCACTACAAGAGAGACATTGAGGTGCTGGAATGGGGCCAGAGAAGGGCAATGGAGCTGGTGAAGGGCCTGGAGCACAAGTGTGATGGGGAACGGCGGAGGGACCTGGGGATGTTTAGTCTGGAGAAGAGAAGGCTCAGGGGGGACCTTATCACTCTCTGCAACTGCCTGAAAAGAGGATGTAGTGAGGTGGGGTTGGTTTCTTCTCCCAAGTGCAAGTGATAGGATAGCATAGGAGGAAATGACCTCAAGCTGTGCCAGGAGAGGTTTATATTGGATATTGTGAACAATTTCTTCACAGAGGGGGTGCTCAGGCATTGCAACAGGCTGCCCAGCGCAGTGATAGAATCACCATCCCTGGAAGTGTTCACAAACCATGTAGATGCCCTCGGTGACATGGTTTAGTGGTGGACTTGGCAGAGCTGGGCTAATGGTTGGACTTGATGATCTTAACGGTCTTTTCCAACCTTGTTGATTCTATGAAGCCCAGCCCTCAGAGCCCCATGGAGGAGCCAGGTGATGAAGCCAGGCTGCCTACTTAAACGGGTCTCCCTGCAGGAGCTGCCCGTCCAGCTTCGGCTGCTTAAAAATAGAAGAAAGAAGGAAAAAAAAAAAAAAAAAAACAAAAAAAAAACAAACCAAAACAAACAAACAAAAAAACAATAAAAGAAGGAAGAAAAGCCACGTCCCAGCCCTCGGTAGCGCCCCCCAGCCGCCAGGGGGCACTGCCCAACCGGCAGGGCCGCTCTGCCTCCTCCGGCTGCAAGGAAACCGGGCTCTCGGGCGGGGACGGGGAGCTGCCGTAAGCTGCGACATTACTGTCGAGGCGCGGCGGAAAAAAAAAAGCCGTGTGGAAGATGTCGTAACAAGCGGTCGCTGGGGCCTGTGGCGGAGATTGCGACCGGGCTCGGCTCCCGCGCTTGTATGCCCCGTCCCGCGGCGGCCGCCCACCCCTCCTGCTCCATGTGGGGCCCGGACCCGGCTGTCGGCCTCTCCGTCTCCTATTCCTACTCCTTCTTCTACTATGTCCCGGAAAACAGTTAGCAGGAAGCGGAAAGCGGCAGCTGCAGCTGCCGCAGGTCCCGGGGGGCTCCAAGGGGAGCCGGTAGGTCGGGGGCGCGGGAATTGGTCTGTGATGTGGGGCGGGGGGGGAGGCCGTTGTCTCCGGTGTGGGGGGAACGTGGCGGTGCCTGGGAGAAGGGGTGACCCTGACCCGGCTGTGCAGTGTCCCGGTGCCCAGTTGGGGCGGGCGGGGGCGGTCCCGTTGTTAAAGGGATATGAGGTGGGGTGAAGAGTAGTCCTGTCCCCGGTGATGGGGGGTGTCCCGGTGCGATGCAGTTCTCGCTGCTGTCCGCCCCGCAGGCGCCAGCTCAGCTGACCTCCCGCCGCCCCGCGCTGCCCCCGTTCGGTTCAGCCGTTCGGCCCATAACGGCCGCGGCCCTGGTGCCCCCGGGTTGAGTAATGCTGCAGGGCTGTCCCACGCCGGGGCGGAGGAAGAGACCGATTAACGGTGGGGTCGGTACCGGGTGGTCCCCGCGGAGTCACCCCTCTCAAACCTAACGAGGTCACGGCGGGGGCTGTCGGGCTGCCCTGCCGGTTCCCTCTTGTTAGTATAAGAATCTGGCGTCTCAGAGGTGCCAAACCGGTGTGGACTGGTTTTAATGTCTTCACAGTGTTGCTTCTTTAGATTTTACGCTGCTAAAGGCTGTATAAGCATTTCCGGGTTTATTTTTGTGTATGGTACTCCACAGATACCTTGGAAAATGTCAGTATTTCCCTGAGAATACCTTTGAGTTTGGAAGGGTCATGCCTTGTTTGTTCTAATGGCTCTATCTCATTTCTGCGTTTGTTTTCCACAGTATGGGTGGGATCACTCAGTTCACAAGAGGAGAAGGCTTCCCCCAGTGAAAAGGTCTCTGGTGTACTACCTGAAAGGTAGAGAGGTCAGGATGCAGAATGAGTCCAGCTATCACCGCTTGTTGCACGGATATGCAGCCCAGCAGCTTCCCAGCCTCCTGAAGGAGAGAGAATTTCACCTCGGAACTCTTAACAAAGTGTTTGCCTCCCAGTGGCTGAACCATCGACAAGTGGTGTGTGGGACAAAATGCAACACAGTAAGTGCCACCTCTCTGTTTTCTCCCCTCTGTTAATTATGCCACCCCCATCCCTAAATGATGCTTACCATAATCAAAGTATGTAGACTGCCAAGGAAAATATTAGTAGTTAGGAGTGAAGTCAAGATCACACACAGTTAATTTAGAATTAAGGTAATGCTTAATGATGACCACATCTCATCTGAAAATATGGCACTGTGCAGATAGCTGCAAACTCAAGCACCATGCCTGTACCTCATGCAGCATCTGTCTGATCTGCACGAAGTGATTTACATATGTTTGTGGGATGGAAAGCAGCAGTGGGGTTGAATCTTTCTTGTCCTGAGAATGGAGATTTAATTTTTAGCTTTGCTAAATGTTAGCTATCTGCCTAGCAGATGTTGCTCTTTTTCTCATAGTCAGTCTTAGCACAGTTCGGTTTTATATGTGGTTTTGTGCTGATGAATTTGAAAAGTTGCTACAAAACTCAAAACAGTGGATAAATTCCAGGTACTTGTCAGAGTAGCTGGAAACATTCCTAGCGTAAAAAGTACATTTCAGATCTTCAGGATTGTCCTTTGCTTGTTGATTACATGATTTTTCAGTCTAAATCTGATTTCAGTGTTCAAATAACTTCTCTTGCTTATGTACCTTCATGTGCTTCAGCAAAAATTGAAACCTCTTCAGCCTCTTACAGTGACAATTTGGATCTGAAACATGATAGGGGAATTTTAAAATTATGTTCTATGTGATTAATAAATGAAGGAAATCATGCCTCTTAGGTAGCATTCTCTCTGCTGGAGTAAGTAGTGCAACTTCATTGGCTGAGGTTGCAGTTTCACATATGCAGTTCTGATTGAAGTAGTTTCAAAATCCCAGATTTGTTTTTTGGAAGCTGCTTAGTGACACACAAATTAATCAAGTGTTGTACGCAATGTGTAGATCAAGCAGTCCTTAAACCTCAGTATATCAGTAGGTCTGACTGCTTCTTTGCCTCAAGATTCTTAAGTGCTGAAGCTGTGCTCAGTGATCTGACCTGCAAGGGAAAGTGGTGTGGTTTTGTTTTCTTTTTTATTTCAGATGTTCTGTTATTCATAGTTACACAGCAGGAGGCTTTCATGCAGTAGCTTTTAAGAAGCAAGGATTAGCTGTATAAACAAAACAGTCTTTTCACTGGAATAAGCCTGAAATTGAATCTTTCTGCCTTCTTTCTCCCTGTGTGTTCATAGTCCTGGCTGGGCAGCAGCCAGCACTGCTCGTGGAACAGCTTTACAGGAGACAAACTCCTGCTGAAACACACGCTTTTGAAAATCTTGCTTAGTCTAGCAAGATGACTGTGTTTTATAGTGCTGGGGCAGTTTTGCTGTGTTCTGTAACTTCTGCAGTTCCAGCGCTGCTGCAGCAGAGATAAATGGGCAAGTGCGTTACTAACGCAACCTAGCAGAAAATTGTTTGGGACGAAACAATTGTGGAACCGAAGAGGGATTCAACCGTATTGTTGTTCCCACTGCATATGCTGCAACGAAGTGTGTGCTTCCACAGCTAGACTTAACATTATAGGTGGGCCTCGGCTTTTATTAAGCAAAATATAGTGATTATGAAAGAATTCACTTCAGCACTGTGAAAGATTGTGTAGGAATTATGAATACTGTAATAGCTTTAGCTTAGTTTCTTTGTGTTCACATTTGAGCAAGTAGAGCATTGAACCCAACACTCTAATTATGAGATTTTCTCTCTCATCCCCTGAGTAAGTGACCTAATAAAGAAGAATTCCTTTGCCATTCCTAATATGCTGAAGTTGTGGCATTTAAGTTGGGAGTAAATATTAAACAATGTGGTTGACTTGAATGGGATTTGCTGCACTGGAGTTGCACATAATTATTACATTAATACAACAGAAAAATACAAACCATAGCAGTTATTTTAATCAAAGCTTGAGTGTGCCTCTGAGAGCTTTTAGCATTTAATTTAAAAACTGCCCTTGGCAATGCTGTGCCAGAAGGATTCACTGTTTCTAATAACAAAACAAAGATATGCTCTTGTCGTAGAGGAGTAGGTTTGCTTTTAGTCACCTGACAGTACTAGTCACTGTAAACACTGAAGAGACTATGGAGCTCTCTATTTTGCTTGTTTTTAATTATGATTATAACTTATTATTTGGTGTAACTTCTTAGCCTTAAAAATATCCCTGAGTATGATTGTGTGTATGAAATAATTTCGTTGTTCTGCAGTGGATCCGGGTGTTTACAGTTGGCCAACTGTAAATCAGATATTTGTCCTTTAAAGGTGCCCACTTTTTCTGATAAATTTGCAACTACTGAACCTATGCAAGCATCCAAGTGTCTAAAGATTCAAACACCATTACCTGCGCGTTTCTGAGGCCAGTTTCATACTTGCAAGGATCTCCTAAATCTTATATGCAATGGGCTTCTTAATGTTTTCTGAATTCAAATGAATGAGTGGGCAAACCTCTGAGAGGTGCAAGCATTTAGGGTGTGTCACCATGGCATCTAAATTACCAAATGCTGATTCTGAGAATCTCAGAAGAAGATTCTCTCTGTAATCAGCATCTTCTGTTCAGGCTTCTTAGAAAAACTTTGAGGTTTACGTAGGAGACAGCTTATGGCAACGAGAACACTGAACATGAGACTGCTATAGGGGTTTTTTTGCTTTATATTTCAGGAAATGATGAAGAATAAAGCAGCTTCTAATAAGTTTCAGTAATCATTTTGAAGCTGCTTTTTTTCCCTTAATTCTGTGTGTGGGACATAATTCTTTTGCTAATTGTGAAGTTAAGGGTGAAAACATACAAAAGCTCTAAATAATTCCCTATATACAAGAAACTTATTCGTATCTAATTGCTTAAGAATATAACTGCCTGGAATATATTTTTTTTTATTTTTAAATTTTTTTAGGCAGGCCTGATAGATATGTTTGTGTTTAAAAACTTATTTATGGAATGTTCTATTCTGTTTTCAGGTTTTCCAAGGCATGAATGGGTTGCTTTCTGAGTGCTGGCTGATTCATGTGTTACCTTGCGTGCCACGCTGTAAATCAGCAGCTCTTGTTTCATCTTAGAGAGTTCAAATTTGTTCGAGAGATCCTGCATCTGTTTGGTGCATCTAATACAATTATAACCTAGTCTTGTTCTGGGGCTATAGTGAGGAGAATACTGCGCACAGTTGCTCTTCCATCCATGAATATGTATTCCCTAGGGGGAAAATGGTTTCTGCTTGCTCTGCAAGTTAACAGGTCTTCTGGCTGTGTATATGTAATGAAGAATGAAGAAGACTGTTAGTTTCTGATCCCAGGGAAGGAATGAGAAGTCAAGCTCCTGCAGTTTGTAACTCTACTCAAAGTCCAGTGAACAGTGGCAGAAACTCAGTGTAAATAAACCTCAGATGCCTGTAACTGACACTTCCATTCACCCTTCTTTAGTGGCATATATGTAAATAGCCAGGTGTTGTTTCTTGTTTCAAGAGCATTTGTTTTTCTGTCAACTGCATATGATAGCCATGTGTGTCTTCAGAGCCTTGTAGTTTCTGTGCCAGGTATGGTGTGGATGGTAGAGATTCCCTCAGGCAGCTGAAGTCTCTCACTTCTCCATCCTTTGACAGCTGTCAACATGTGTTAACTGTCTGCCAGCCTCCTGAAATTAAACACAGAGGGCAAGGCACAAATAAAAACCAACAAGTATGATTTTAGCAGTGAACAAATACAGTGACATCAAAGTGACTAGCCTATTAGCTAGTGGTGCGTCAGTTTCATAGCAAGGTGGAATGCCTGCTTGCATCATCTTGGCTCTGGAAATATGAATTCAAAGTCAGTGACGTTCTAGTGGAGGGTGTCCCTGCCAACCCTAAGCATTCTATGATTCTGTGAACTGGCTGCTTTTACAGCTGCTCACTTCTCAGGTGGTTTCTTTATATTCTCGATTGTTATGCTTTAGATCCTTTCAAGGAGGATGTTTGAGGCCGTTACACACTTGTGTCACCTGTACTGCAGAACCTGTGAGTAGTTTTTCTCCTAAGATTAGTGAACAGCTGATGTACTTTACAAACTTCTCTCTGTGATAGTTGAAAAGTCATGGCAGTCAGGGGAAGTCCCTGGTGACTGGAAAATTGAATCTTTGCACCCATTTTTGAAAAGGAGAACCCTGGGAACTACTGACCTGTCAGCTTCACCTCTGTGCCTGGAAGGATCATGGAACAGGTCCTCCCAGAAGCTGTGCTATGGGACAGGGAGGACAGGGAGATGATTTGTGACAGCTGTCACTTCATCAAGAAGGAGTCCTCTGTGACCAACCTTGTGATGGAACTACTACATCTGTGAACAGGGGAAGAGCTACTGATGTTGTCTGTTTGTACTTCTGTAAGGCCTTTGACATGGTCCCTCACAACATCCTTCTGTCTGCATTGGAGAGATATAGATTGGGTAGATGGATGGACTGGTGGGTGAGGAATTAGTTGGATGTTCACATCAAGAGGGTAGAGGTCAGCAGCAAAATGTCCAGATGGAGACTGGTGACAAGTGGTGTCACTTGGGATGAATACAGTCTGGGGATGAAGGGATTGAGAGAGCCCAGTGGAGAAGGATTTGCAGGGTACTTGTGGATGAAAAGCTGGACATAAACTCATAGAATGCTTTGAGGTGGATGGGACCTTAAGTATCATCTAGTTCCAGCCCACCTGCCATGGACAGGGACACTTTCCAATATTGTTTATTCTGATCCCCACTGCAAGGGGGACATAGAAGCTTGATTTATTAGTCTTTAAAGAGTTCATGTTTCTTGAGGCTTGGCATATACTATAAATCTGTATTGCAAAAAAGTGGAATGCCACTTTTTGGAATGCCAAGCATTTTATGAACATAAAGATGTTTATAATCTGAGTAAAAGGCAAGACTTGAGAAATGCAAAAAATCAGGTAGTGCTACTCAGAGTGACTAGCCATAGTAGTGGTGTAATGACACTGTAAGCATTGTCTTGCCTTTGTTAGCAAAAAACTTATCTGGAGAGCAGT